ATTTCAGAATGCCCCTAAAGACTTGTTTTGCTGGCCACATGGTCTGAAAACAGGAGATTCAAGCAACACCTTAATCAGCCAACCAGCCACTGCACACCACGGGCTATTGGTATTCCATCCCGAGATGGAGAGGCTGCCCACGCCCTGCACCCACCAGTGCACTGTAATCCATTCCCATCCCCCCATTTCCTCTCTGTTTCATCCTGTTCATGGCGCTGACATGAGTTGGGCTCTGTGGTTACGGGACAGAGGATCACTCTGATCTGTTGAGAGTAAGGAGCCATGGGGGCTGACACCGAGCTAGACCTGGAACCTGCCAGGGACTGAGGCATTTGCAGCCAATGGTCCTTCACTCTCTCTTTCCTCATGGCCTGTGAGGTGCTGCTTCCTTCCAGGTCTTGCCTCTCTTGCCAATGAATGGCTTATTTATTCTTTACTTTGGTGGGATGGAACGATGAGCTGGCCACAGCATGGGCTGCTGTGTGTCATATGGACTGGGTGTCTTGGGACAGATGTAGGGTTGGATCAAATGGGACCAGACATGGACACCACTGATGTCCTTTCAGAGGATGATGGGAGTGTCCTTCCCTTAGAAGAGCTGTGGGCACGGCAGACAGTGCCACCACAATCACAATGTCCCCTGTGGAGCCCAGTTTCTCCATAGTAAACTTTGCCTATGATCTTATACGGCTCTCTGGAGTTAGAACCAGTACAACTTGCACTAAAAAAATTATTGTCTATCATAAAAAAAAATTAAAATATATAATAAAACAAAAATATAAAAAAAAAGACTACTAAGGGGCCAGCCCCATGGCCTAGTGGTTAAGTTCACCCACTCCACTTTGACGGCCGGGGTTTGCAGGTTCAGTTCCCGGGTGTAGACCTACACCACTCATCAGTGGCCATGCTGTGGCAGCGACCCTCATACAAAATAGAGGAAGATTGGCACAGATGTTAGCTCAGGGACAATCTTCCTCAGCAAAAATAAATAAATAAATATTTATTTAATTTTTTGAATAGGAAATATATTCATAATAGTTGAAAATTAAAAAGTTATGGAATAGTATACAGTAAAATTCTTTCTCCCACCTTGTCCCACTTCTCTCCAATTACCACACCTCCTCCAAAACAAGTAACCACAGTTGTTTTTTAACTTTTTATTTTGAAATAAATATAGATTCACAAGAAGCTGCAAAACTAGTATGGAGAAGTCTCAATATAACCACTGTTTTAAATTTATGGTATAATCTTTCAGGAGATGTTATGAATATACAAGCACATAGAAATATACGGTATTTTCCACCCTGTTTTACTCAAATGATATCATGTCATACGTAATTCGGTACCTTGCTGCTATGGACTGGATGTCTCTGTCCCTCCAAAATGATATGTTGAAGCCCTAATCCCCAAAGTGATGGTGTTAGGAGGTGGGGCCTTTGGGAGGTGATTAGGTAAGAGGCTGGGGCCTTCTTGAGTGAGATTAGTGCCCTTAGATGAACAGACATGAGAGAGATGATCTCTCTCTCTCTCTCTCTCTCTGCCACATGAGGACACAGTCAGAAAGCATCCTCCTGCAAACCAGGAAGAAGGTCCTCACCAGGAATGAAATCAGTCAGCACTTTGATCTTGGACTGCCCAGCCTCCAGAACTGTAAGAAATAAATTTCTATTATTTAAGCAACCTAGTCTATAGTATTTCTGTTATAGCGGCCAAAACTAAGATGTTTGGGGGGAAAAAAAAGCCCCACTTAAGTTTTTATATAATTAATCAAACTGTCATTTTAATTTTTTTGTATCACTTTCCCTGGATGAAAATTTTTCTCTAATGCAAAATGTGATCATTTCTTTATATGTTGGCTCAGGCTTCATTTTTTTAAAAAAAAATCAAAACCTCAGGGCAGTGTTTCACAAACATGCTGTTTCAAAATGCAGATTATCACAGCTCTTTCCTGGAAATTTTCTTTCAGCAGATCTGAGTTGGTGTCTGGAAATCTGTTCTTTTAAAAACAATTATTGTCTGAGAATATATTGATTCAGTACATAATTTAAAAAAGTGAATGCCCTTGTGCATTACCAGACCCACAATACACCCCGAATGCACACGGCTGTGATCTTTGCTCCTTTGCAAAGTCCTCATGGAGTTAGCTCACCTTGTTCCCTCCCCCTCGCACACCTCTCTCTTCCTGCTTTCCATCTCCCGGCATTCCCCGATCCTGTCTCCGTTTGTTCAAATACAAGTGTGGGAAGTGTGTGTGCTGTTCAGGATCAGCCTCCTGACTATGTTTTTCCTGACTCCTGTCTTGGCAGCAGTTGTCTGCATTTTGATTGTGTGGATCTTTACAAATGCTGATAGAAGCATGGAGAGAAGGAAGGAGGAGCCCAGAGCCAGGGCCGAGGCTCGTCCCTGGGTGGATGAAGACTTACAAGACAGCACTGACCTCGACCAAGTGGAAGAAGGTAAAGACACTGGCACCGCTGCGTAGCTTCCACCCTTGCATTTTTATGATGAGTGCAAGTAATTGGTAGGGCTGATGGAGAGGAAGAAACAGACACAGGTCAGTTTCGTCACCAACCTCTATTGGGCAAACAATTTAGTGTGTGACAGAGACAGATGGTTTCTCTCGGGTGTTCAGCTTGTCACCTGCTGGCACCAACCCCCCTTTATTCCTGGATCCTCAGTAAAAAGCTGTTGAGGGACTGGCATTTTCCCTGGCTCCAACCCTGTTCTGGCTGGTAAACTCTTTCTGAAGGGTCACAGGCTGGCGGTGACGTGGGGTAAGTGGTCAGGTTCTGATCAAGAACTTTGAAATTAAAAAGTGGCTGCCTTTCACTGTGCCAGGCCCTGCGGGTTAGAGACAAGAGTGGCTGCTGTCCTCAAAGCTGAGTGTCCAATTCAGCAGACAAGGCAACAAACAGGCAGCCAATAGAAAGTAACAAAGAGATGCACTGGGTAGAACTGATGATAAGGAGTTTCCAGAAGGCCTGGGGGCACAGTGGGGCAGTTAGGAAAAGGTCAGACCAGGCCTGCTGGATTAATAGGATATAAGAGCAAGGATAGGAGGCATCTCTGGTGAGAGGAGCTGGAAAAGCATAAGTACAGGGACGGAACCCCTTGAAAAGATGCTGAGAAGATGGGAGGACCGCACTGACCAGGGAAGGGGTGAAATGAAAGGGGTAGCGAGGGCAGGCCAGGCCGTGGTAGTCCGAGAATGCAGAGGCGACAACGGAGGCAGGCAGGAAGGGGAGGTTCCTGAGGAGACTTGAGTAATCTGTGTGGGAGAATGGTTTCAATTGGGTTTGCGGGATGGATTTGATTTGGAAGAGGCTCAGTGATGCTCAGCTGGCTAGTGATGGCCTCACCCTCCAACAGAGGCCACATGGAAGTGTGCATCCCTGTGTGCATGTGTGTATGTGTGTATGCGTGTGTGTGTGTTCTGAGTTGCCCTAATCTCAGGTTTCAGGGGTGGGGTATACAGTCAACATTCAGTGCTGGGAGCCAGCAATGCTGAATGTACCACACAGGAGTCAAGCCCAGGCAGCCTCCTGAAAGGGCTGCCTCTTACTCTTATATATTGAAGGATATCCCCCCTGAACCCCCATTACGCCCAGCTGAGAAGCACTTCCCTTAATCAAAGTGATATCCATTATGAAGCTGGGTGATGATTTGATCTGGTAAAGGTGGCCTGGATGGTGGTGGCAGTGGGAATGCAGAGGAAGGAGTGAATCAGCGTGAAGTTAAAGGAAGAACAGGAGAGTTTGGTAATAAATTGGATATTGGGAGAAGAAGGAGAGGGCGAGGTTTGGAGGCTGGAAGAGTCAGAATGACACTATCACAAACGGGTGAGGGAAGAGGATCCAGTTTAAAGGAGAAGATGTTCAGTGTCCTCAAGGACGTGTGAGATTCGAGAAGAGAGTGACACATCTAAGCAGAAAGGGAGAGAAGAGTCTAGGTGAGTGATCCAGGCCACAGAGACTGAGTGGAGAGTCACCAGCATAGGGGTGACACTTAGAACTTGGAAAACTAATGAATTCATTAGGGGAGTATTGCTGGGGAGAAAGCTCGGGATAGAACTCGGGGGGCACCTGCAGATAAGAGGAACCATGGGGGGAGAAACAGACTACAGAAAAGAAGACGTGGGAAAAGGAGCTCCAAGATCATCACAGTAACAAGCCCTTCTACAGCACTCACTGTATGCAGTGTCGAGTTTCACATATAGTGAGTCACTTAGTCTTCATAACAATACAGTGAGGTAGGCACTATTATTATCCCCATATTACAGATAAGGAGACTGAGGCTCCAATAGACTAAGTCACCTCTCCCAGCAGATAGTGGTAGAGCCAGGACCCTGGAAGTCTGGCTCCAGAGTCCAGGCAGATAGCCAGTTTGCTAGGCTGCCTTTCCAATAGGAGAATGATCTAGAACAGAGGCGGCAGGAGATAGCCAGCAGAGTTAAAAATTCCCTGAGAGATCAGAGGTAGTGTGTATTGAGGAAAGGTCACTGGATTTGAAGAGCCAAGAGTTTGGGGGACACGAGAGGGATTGATAAGGCTGGTGGGGAGTCGGAGACCTGGGGCTGGGCCTGAAGGCTGGGAACACAGGGCAAAGCTATATGACCCTATTCTCGTGCTCTGCCTGATGATACATTTTTCAAAATCCTGTGTGCTCCTCACACAGAGGAATGAATTGAACACGTGTGGCCCCCTCAGCAGCCATGAGCAAATCTTCCCCGAATGCAGAGTTCACAGTCTGTTGTTGGAATTTTTGTTGTCTACATAAGTGATACCTGCTGAGGTCCCACAGGTGGTAGGTGAGAACCAATCTCTAAACTCAGGATCCTCTGCCACCTGAGTCCCTGCTCCTAAGCACTGGATGGGTGGACATGGTCCAAGAGAGGATTTGCTGCTGGTACTGCAGGTTCCAAAGGGCGTATAATTGGAGAAGAGAAAGGATTCAACTACTGAAGAAACATGGAGATGGTTTTGATGAGGGCAAATAGATACCAGATACAAACCATTTTGAAAATTAACAGTAAGAAACAAAACAGTAAGTATTGTACGCCATTGTAGTGTGAGTTAAGGAAAATATGGGTTCCCATTCCAACCTCATCCAGATCTGATTCACAAAGAATTCCTACTCCACGATCATAGATCAGGGAATCAGCATGTGTGTGGGCAGGTAGGGGGATGGTGGGAGCATAGAGAGGCCATGCTTATCAGATGTCGGACACTGACTTCCTTCAGGGACCAGTCAAACGTGGTGTCCCATTAATACCTTCAGTTCCTTGTTTATCTGTAGCAGAGGTCTAAAGAGGAGAAGTTGCTGATGTTTATCCCAAAGTGAAAGCCTCAGATTGTCCCCCTAAAATGGACCAAAAGTCCTGCACAAACTTTCCCTAGTCAGGTCCAGATTCATGGAAGCTCATGGAAATGGGAGAAAAAGATATAAGGAACACATCTCACGGAGATGTGTCTGCTTTAATGATGGAAGGACTTTTTCTCCACTTAGCTTCACTGGGCATCCAAAAGCTGTTTTTCTAACTGAAATTTTGATTGTCCCAGGTTGTCCGATCACTGCTAAGAAAGGCCTGTGTTAAAATTGTTATCTAGTGTGAGTAACACCTGAGAATAAAAATGTTCCCACAAACTCAGGAGAGGACAGATTTTTATGCATCCATGGTAACAAGCAGCTGTCAGAACTGGTTTCAAACCTATTCAATGGATCAACGACAACTCACCTCAGTAAAAGCTTGGCAAGCCAACAAATGAGTGGCACCCTCTTGCTTCTTAAAGCCAGCCAATCAGGGATGGACTCACTCCAGTCCCCGCCCTTCTGAGTGCCAACCAATCAACAACAGTCTCAGTGAAGTAATGCTGTTCCTACAGAAGATGTCAATTCCCTTAAACCCCTGGAAGTCCACCAGTCCCTGAACTCCATCCTTCCCAACCAAGTGGTGCACTAGAGCTGGGCACTGAGCCCAGCAAGAGCTAACTGTTAAATATTCAAGAAGTTTGTGGGCCATTTGTTCAAACATCAGTAGCTTGAAGTCAGGCCATGATGGGAGGATTTATACCATGGAAACTGGCAACTGCTGTAAACCGGGGCTCTTTTTTTCTCCTCAGAGAGCTAGTTTACCAGCACATCACTGCCAAAAATACTACATAAGGTCAGCATTCTGTTGTGTCCACAGAGACTGAGCTCCACCAACATATAGCTCTCCTTTGCTATAGGAAGCAATAAATTCTGATCTCTCTTTTCATTTCATCATCCTTTGACACACCCACCCACGAATACCTTTGCATGGCTAATTTTGAAAGGTTGGTTTACTAAGACTCCTGTAAGACCTTAAGGTTTTAGGACAAAGGACAGGTAAGTTCAGATGAGAGAAGATTAGGAAAGAGAAAGGACTTGGATGGAGGCATTATCCTTGAGATCAAGTCTGGGTGGGTCCTAGTAGGGGAGAGTGAAGGTCAGCGTGGGGACACTGGGGATGTCACAAGAGGTGAAGGGGTTCAGAAACAAGTCTATCAACTTCACTCAGGATAGCATTACTCTATTCAAGGTCTTTCCATCTGGGCACCCTCAGACTCTCCAGCCCGCACCCACCTCGGGAGCTGCTAGTGAAATAGTCAATCTATACGACAGCTAGGGAGCCGAATGACTGAGAGGCCCATGGAGATGCAGAGCGATGGCCGAGGTAGTTGGGAAGGAGGCATTCTTGGAGCAGATGTCAAGCCCTGAAATTGCTCCCATCCCCACCTTCAGAATCTGTCTACTGTGAGAGCTGCATCGCCCTCAGTCTTATTAATATTGCTCCTCAAGTGCCCCCCCAAAGTTGCAGGGAGGGAACAAGGATGACATGACACAAATGGCCTTTTAGTTTCATAGCTAGAAAATATCTGGCTCATTTGCAAAGATTTTGACGTAGAGGTGCAAAACACAAAAGCAATTTCTGGAGAGATACAGCCAGAAAAATACCTTAGTGTTAAACATTACGGGATAGACATGGCCTAGAATGACTTGACTATTAAACCTAATTCTGGTGCCTTTTAGGGTTCCTTGGCATTAAAGCAATGATAAAGGGTGAGTTGTTCTTGCTGTTAATAGCAACCCCCAAGTGTGGCAGCACAAGACTTATATTAAAAAGCAGACCATAATAGCATGCATTTGTTTTGGCATATGTAGGCTTCAGAGCTTGAATGAATCCCCCGGAATGGCTTGGCTGGTCTAGGGTGGAGGCAGAACAGCTATGGAGTTTTCAGAGGTTGTTCTCTTTCTGCTTGGTGAGGGCCACATTCCTCGGGGGCAGTCAGGAGGTCAAGGGGAAGGAGAGAAGTGGTACCTTTTGAATTGGTTCACTGCCCTGTGGTTCCCTCCATGCTTTCTCTCCAAGCCTGGCTCTGCCTGCCTCTTTCTCCAGGCAGGACGTAGACTTTCTGCCCCGGGGGGAGGACTCCAGGATCAGCAGCTCCCCAATGTGCAGTGCTCGGAGAGCCCTCAGGACCATCCCTCCCAGCAGTGATTCAGACCATTTGTCTGCCCTGCTCAGAGATAATGGCCTGGCCGCACCGAGAAGGCTCACGCCCTTCATTCTGCCAGAGTCAGAGTGCCGACCCTGGACTTGAGAAGCTTCAGAAACTGCCACGTCACGCACCTAGGCTGCCTTTCGTTTATACAAATTCTGAATGGATCTGAAGAGTAGGTAACTTCCTTTTTAAAAAGTTAAGGAGGCGTTTCATGCATTTGCTCATTTACCACTGACTGACTACAGAGGTTGCCAGACTTCACAACAAATGGTGTAGAGACTGTCACTGGTGTTGAAAGTCTTTATTGACACCTCTGATAATGTTCAGGGTTGATATTGATGACATCTGGGGTGGGTTCAGAATTGATTTCTAGAAAGCTGGTAGGTGTTGCCACTCCATTATACCTTCTTCCTTTTAACTTAGTGACTGGGCCTTCTCATTAAATGTGTACAGTGTAGGCCCCAACTGCCCCGGCTAGTAAGATGCAAAAAGAAGTTTCTCACTACTAGCTATCAGCAAACCGTGATACCTGCTAGTATTGTGGTCAGATTCTCAGTCTCTTCGACGTCAGTCCCTCTGGCCTTGCCTCTCCCAGGTCCTCAGATGCCTAGCAGGGAAGCGTGTGGGTGTGAGTGTGGGAGGGGCTTAGTTCTCTGCCTGAATCCCACCTGGCTGTCCCAGACCCTCGGGAGCAGCCCCTGGATCATCTTGCTCTCTTCCCTCTGTTCCCATTGTCATTCACATCTTCACGTGATGGCTTCCAAAGTGACATCTCGCCTTCTGGACATTTACTCTCATACTGGACATCTCCACTTGAGGGACTCACAGCCTTTTGAATGTGACAGAGTGTTGATTCCTGTTCCTACTTCTGCCCCACTGCCCCCAAATGGTTCACTTCTCATCCTCTTATCTCAGTGGATGGTTCCACCCTCTACCCAGGCGCTGAAGCCAGCAACCCGAGAGTGACCCTCAGTTCCTCCCTCTCCCTCCCCACCACCCCCAACCACACACCTTAGCAAGTCTTATCATTTTTATCTCCAGGATGCTTCAAGAATTGGTTCACTTCTGTCTTTCTGCCACCCTGCTGGTCCAAGCCAACATCATCTCTCACCCAGGCTATTGAATAGCCTCTTTATGGTTATTCCATTTCACTTTTGTCTCCCTCCAATATATACCTTTAAAAGTGTAATTTAGATTATGTTATACTTCTGCTCAATAGCATTCTGTGCTTTCTTACAATACCTCGGCTTAATCTACAATCATTAGGAGTACATTCTATGCACCCGCACAAGTAGGCTCTTGCCTACTTCCCCATCCTTATCTAAGCAATTCTCTCCTTTGCTCAGTAAGATCCAGCACTTTTGGCTGCTCAGACACGCCTGAAGCACACCTTTCCCCATCCCCATCCCCAAATACTGACTCTCTTTTATCCACAAGTGTCACCTGACCTGCCATCCTTTCAGAGAGCCCCGTTTTGTCTCCCTTTCTGGACCACCCCTCCTTTGTCTCTTCATAGAGAATTAATCATTTTCATAGGAGTGGTCACAGTTTGTACTTCCATACACATATTCATTTGCTGATTCGTTTAAATGTTTAAGTGCCAAGTATAAAAACCGTATCTATTTTGTTCAACATATATCCAGTAAATGCTCAATAAAAACCTTGTTGAATGAATTGTATATTTCGGCCTTCTGTGGGAGCTTTACTAAATGTAAACTGTAAATAACATTTTACTAAATGTAGTATGTACATTACAATGTACATAACCTTTTGCTAAATGTTATACATAGTATATTGTGTTTTGCAAACATGTAATTTTATCATTAAAACTGGTTTTTCCCCCCAAACTAATCATACTCACCAGAGAATTTTATTCCATCGGGTCACCCTTCCCCCAAAAAACACCACCAACAACAAAAATAACAACAAAACGCTGCAAAATCATTGCTATCGGCATCTCCTGAACAGAGACATAACAGGAGAAATTTGCTCAGTCCCCCTAATACGGAGATCAGCTTCAGGTCCTGCCTCACTTTTTCATGCTGTGTTTCTTGTAGCAAATGTTGTAAAACTTATGTAATCCAAACGTCTGATGAGTTCACCCTACTCACCACACACACACACACAAAAAAAAAAAAAGGAAAGGAAGGCTGAATCCTCAATTCCACATGCTTTGGGAAGGCTGATGCCCTCTCAGGGATTGCCAAGAATTTCCAGGGGACTTGTGCTCTTGGGGCCAGCTCTGGCTCTGAGCTTCAGGACCATGGACTCCTGATTTCTCGTGTTTTCTTCTTCCACTTCACACAATTTGCCTGTGGAAATCACCCCTGTTTCTTCTTTCAGTAATTTCCCAAGTTCCCAACTACTCACTCATTGTATTAACATTTGGGGCGGCCCATTCTTCTTTCTAAAGGTGCTTTGAGTCTCTGTGTTGTAGGCCTGGCTTTACGCTTTTTTCCTCAGATTCTGTTCCCCTCACTTCATCATGCAGGGTGGCTGAGCTCCTCTTCCAAAGACTCGCTCCTATGCTCAGAAAAAATTAGGGGCCGTCTACTCCAGGGACATAGAAAAACCAGTAGAGGTTTAAAATTGTGCGTGCTCTCTTCTTCCCTCATCAGTCTTGTGAAGGAAAGTGAGCAATATGGAGATTTATTTTCCACTGATTTGAATTACGCTACTTCGCTCAGAAGGCAAAAGTATCTGTAGACCGTTTTCTTTACACTTTCAAGTTCTCATTCATTGTTTCAAACTCGAAATCTTTCTTGAAAGCACTGATATTTTATTTTATTTCTTTGTTTTGTTTTGTTTTTGTAATTTTTTGTTTATTACAGTAACATTGGTTTATAACATTGTAAAAATTTCAGGTGTACATCATTATACTTCTATTTCTGCCTAGATTACATCACGTTCACCACGAAAATACTAATTACAACCCATCACCACACACATGTACCGAATTATCCCTTTCACCCTCCTCCCTCCCCCCTTCCCCCTGGTAACCACCAATCCAATCTCTGTCCCTATGTGTTTGTTTACTGTTGTTAT